ACACTACAAAACAAAAGCTTACTCGTTTGGACCGCCGCAAACTTCAGTAATTAAAGCGCTCTTATGATGCGGCTCGCCACTTGTCAAACATTTTTCGATCACATTTGATGCAAATTTGTGTTGCGCGAATTGCAAAACTTCGCCCTTAAAATTGATTATTACTAGCCAAAACTATCAGGGGAAGATGTACGGGAACCTAGATTTGCAGGATTGACCTGGAAGCTGTAATCTACTTTGTAGTCAGTCCTGAAGTCGCTTGGCACCAGGACCGCTCGGTCTGTCGATGCGAGACGTCTGATAAGTAGCCCTTCACTAACTTTGTTGCGCACATGCAGCACCTCTTTAGAGAGCAGTTTCAGTATTCTTACTTGTTCTTACCGCTAATTTACAACCCCAGTGGTTCTCAACAAGCAACATGTTCCATCACCCACTGATGCTTATCATCCCCGAACCAGACCTACACGAAAAGTTCAGGAGGACAGTGATAAAACTGGTAACAAACGGCGCATGTTACAAACAAAATAAATATAAGCGGCTAGCTAGAAACTATGATATACGTAAAAATATGCTTATGCGAACCTGAATCTCCTTGACTATACGATTGCGATCGTCCGCTGAACCATGCTCGATGACGTGCTGGATGACGTAGTTCCCATACTGGTCAACAATCAATGCTCTGATGTGCAGATGCAGCTGATCCAGCACCGGTCGCTTCTGCTCAGCAGTACAGTGTTCCAGGACACGCTGAATTACGCGACAGCCGTACGGATGTGTTGACAGATTGCATACCTGCAGTATACTCTACTTTCACGGTAAAATTACGATATCACAACAAAACAGACCAGGACAGCTGAATGAGGAAGCCCAGATGTGCAAGGCAGTCGCATAACTTGCTGTAACTGTTGTACTGACGAGGTCCAACTGAACAGAGCTGGAGTAAGACGTATAGAACGTAATGAACCAAAACGTTTCAGCCTCAGTTTGTTTATTTCTACCACTACTAATTAGCAGTTACCTTAGTCAGCACAGTGCATGCGCTGCCCGGACAATCGGTATGCTAGTGATGTTACTGAGAAGCCCCCATACACCAGACCCCTCTGCACCGGGTCTTCCGATTCTCAGCCGCATGCAAAGTGAATAATGAATACTGTTACCGTCATGTTATCGCCCGGTGGTACCAAGGCATCAATGATGAACTGCAGACGTGATGCGTCCACACATTCAATAACCTTCTGTATAACGTGATTGCCATTCTGATCTTTCACGCATCT